TATATAGGGATATTTTATATGGTGTATGATATTAAGATATTAAAAGAGCTATTCAGATTGTGGTCTTGTTTATAATTGTAAAAGTTTGTGGTTGCAGATTTTTTATATTGCTTCTAGAAGGAAAATGAATAATAAATTTGTTTGTAAATAAAAACTGTTAATGAAATCTGATGGGAAAGACAAGGGAATTAAAGTAATATTCTCATAGTCTCAAGTATGAAATGTCATATAATGGGAAAGTGTGGGATTAGAGAAGGTTAAGGAGAACAATAAAATTTTAAGTGGTTCAAGTGATGAGTCTGAGGTAGTAGGGCAGAGCTCGTTGATGGAGAAATTTCTATTAGAGTGAGGATGTATAAATGGAAACCACAAACTGATCCTAGTTTCTGTAATTTATAATGAGACATCTTAGAGTGGTTTTGCATTCATACCAAGGTGCAATTATTGACTTTGCCTTTATTTTGCTTCAAATATTTTCTGTATTTTCAAAATATCCAGTATATATTGAAAGGAATTTAAGGTCTCATTTTATATCCATTAGGTGCAGGTGATGAGCCTGTCCTGGAAGAGAACAAGTGCTTCTCCATTATTCATGGCCAGGGAGGCAGAGACGTGTTGGACTTAGTTGCATCAACAGAAGAAGAGAGGGATGCCTGGGTGACTGGGCTGTCACACCTCGTTCAGTCAGTCAAAGCGTTACACGAAGAGAAGCAGTATGATGTGTGAGTAACTCAAACTCCATGTTTATATGTGATCTTTGTTATTAGTATCCTTTTCTTTATAGTTGGATGATAATGATACACCAAACTATTTTGGCTCTTTACAGGTTGGCAAGAGTAAATGCCATATTAGTTCAACTCAATTCCTTTTTTTTTTTTTCCTTCCTTCTTCTTCTTCTTCTTCTTCTTCTTCATCAAGTGCTTAATCATCAAGGACCCAATTGTTAGCTCTATCTGTCTCACCAGTTTACCCAGTTTCTTTGATTTTTGGAAAGAATCTCATTTTTATTGGTTAACATTGTTGATAGCATTATGGTAATCATAATGTTATTTGATGATAATAACAGCATCAATATAGAATTAGAAAAAAATATCCTGAAAACTCAAGAAAAGGAGAAATCACGCCCAATCGCTTACTAATTGGTTCCATGGTGATTGAGCACTTCTGGGGCCATCAGTGTGCAAACAAAATTCACAGAAGAAAACTACAGTCAAGAGTACATATACCTAGCAACAGTGGTTTATTTTATTATTTTTTCTTCTTCTTCTTCTTCTTTTTGCATTTTAAAATGTTACATATTATTAGTTTAAAATGTTACTTATTATTTGTTTAACAATATCATTCCACTCACAGATGGCTAAGGAAGCAGTTCGAGGAGGCTGATAAAGACAATAATGGATCACTTAATTTTAGTGAATGTTGTGCTCTCTTGAAGCAGCTAAATATTAAAATGGACAAGATTCATGCCAAGAAACTTTTCAATGTAAGTATTAAATTTGTATGCACTTTGTGTTTAGAAATAAGAGACCCAGAATGTACGTTTATATCAACAACTTTGCTTTGGTTACACCTTTCAAATATAGAAAATTAAGCGATTCTTGTAATCTTTTACAGTGGGAGAACATTAAGTTTTCTTTTTTTAATGATATATTTTGGCCTTTTTTTCTATAGCAAGCAAACACAAGCAAGCAGAAGAGAGATGGAGAGCAGGTATTAGAGGTTGAGGAATTTGTGGCCTTTTATCATGCTCTACTGAAAATGCCAGAGGTTGAAAAACTATACAAGAAGTAAGTGTGGAGAGATAGTGCAATTTTTTTAATGACACCAGTATTTCTTTAGTATTGGCACAATTTTAAAGATTTGAATGACACCAGTATATCTTTAGGTATTGACACAATTTTAAAGATTTGAATGACACCAGTATTTCTTTTGTCCCGATAATTCCTCCATAAGATAAAATTCCTCCATGAAATTAAGCTTCAGTGGTTTATTTACCAGATGATCACCATATAGATATGGAAGACATAGCCTTAGTCAGCCATTTTCAATGCTTTTATAAAGGGTTTGAAAGATTATGACTTTTCATTTATTATAGACAAAAGTAAAATGTTTACCTTTTATGATAAAGTTTACAGATATATCATGTTTTTTTTTTTGTACTCTAAGCAGTCTGTTGTGTATATGTATATATATTTTTTTCTATTTGCAGGTATTGTAGTGAGAAGACAGGGTTAATGAGTGCAGACCAACTATGTGCCTTCCTTCACAAAGAGCAGGGTCTTACAGACTATGATCATAGTCAGGCTACCAAGCTTATGAATGAATTTGAAATTAGTAACCTTAAGGACCAAGGCTACATGACTCAGGATGGTAAAGATCATTTCCTCTTTAGTTTGATCAGCTGGAAATTACTTTAGTAATATTTTAACCCTAAGGTATAATACTGCAAGATGACTGGATATTCAGTATGAAGGATTGTCTAGGAGATGCCTAGAAATTAATTTTTTTTTTCCTTCCTCTATCCACTCAGGTTTCTATCACTTACTGCTTTCGGACATGTTTGATGTGTTCAACTGCAACCACCAGAATGAAATTCATCAAGACATGAATCAGCCATTGTCACATTATTTCATTGACTCATCACACAACACGTGAGTGCTATTCTGTAATGTTGACAGTTTTTAGCTTTCTGAAATATGAGCTAGTACACCTTGATAGGTACACATCTGTATTTGTCTGTTTTCCTTGAACAGACTCCATATCATCTCTTTAGGTATTCTATAACTCTGTATAATAAAAATAAGTAAGATTTTGTTATTTGTGTCAACCTTCAGTAATAAACCCTGTGTTGCCATTTATGGCAAGCAGGAATAGGATCCTGACTATGGAGATAATGTCCTCTCTGCAGCAGGCACTCTTCCAGTCATGGCTCATGGATGGTGCATTTCACACTCATTTACTAATGAAAATAATGTTAAAGCCCCTTCCTAAATGTCCACTAAGTTCTAATCACCCTCTAGTAGCTTTGTATACTCTCGGCGAGTCTTTCCTGTGACCCCAACCAAAATTCTCATGGTAGCTTATTCCCGTCACCATTACCCCCAGCCAAAGTTTTTACTGCATATTCATATCACCTGACCCTTAGCCAGATTTTTTCATGACATAACCATCACATCATATAGATGTAAGTGGTTAACCCATCAGCGACGGGTAAAAATTTTGTCAAGTTTACGTATGCGCCGGCTTGTTGGCGCGCACTGGCAGTTTCCCCTGTTTGCGCCCGGCTCGATCGGTAGTTTGCGAGCGACATATAGCACCTAAAAGCTTTTATTTTTCTAAAATTTATGAAAATATTAAAAATGTGAAGGTTTACCTTCACTTTAGGTGCCATTGCCTAAAATCTTTACCATATAAATGAAGCCGCTACTAGTGGAGGAAAACAACCTCCGTCCGACGAGCCTGTAGCACGGGAATGGGCATGGCATGATGCCCCCGGCGTTTGGTCCACAACAGCCATGGCATGTACGTACGTGACACCCGGCGCCAGTGGGTTAATTTGATGCTCTGAACATCATTAGATCTCTGTTTTCATTACAGGTACCTGACAGGGCATCAGCTGGCTGGAGAAAGCAGTGTTGAAGGGTACATTAGTGCATTGAAACGAGGCTGTAGGCTGCTTGAGTGTGAGTACTCTTATCTCTTTCTTTTTTTCTCTTTCTTTCTTTTGTTTTCCTCTCTTTTTTCTGCTTTTTCTTTTCAAGCATAATGAGGGTACATGTGGTACATGTCCTTCTTCTGCATAATGTAATAGCTGCATATCTTGCTATCACATTTCTAAATGACAAGCTTTTGATGATTGAAAGTTATATATTTTAATATGTATAATGATCATGCAGTGGACCTCTGGGATGGAGATGATGGAGAACCAATTATCTACCATGGCCACACTCTAACTTCAAAGATCACCTTGGCCGATGTTCTCAGAGACGGCATTAAATTGTATGCATTTGAGGCATCACCCTACCCCGTCATTCTCTCAATAGAGAACCATCTCAGTCTGGATCAGCAAAGGACAATGGTGAAGCTTATGAAGGATATTCTGGGAGGTAAAGTTGAAAGTTCTTATTGACATATTTGAAATAAGAGGCCCAAATGATGAAGGTTGCTGACATTCTAAGATTTTGATACTCATTTTGATGTGATGATAAGGTCCAGTGTCAAATGTAACATGTAGCTTTGTGATATATTACAGTAGTGGTCTGACAGAATTATTGTTATGTAACTTTGAGGAATAGTTTTTTAAACTTGTTTTTATTATTTCTCATATGACAACTAAGTTTTATTCATTTCTGATTCATTTATTATACTCATGGGCTTTTTAGGAGTATCAAATGGTATACTGATATATTTCTCTTTGATGCTGAACCTAACATGAATATATATAAATTTAACATGTAAGGCTACTGAAGCAGTTACTTATTTGTTTATGTTGGTGATATATATTTTTTTTTATATGAAAACCTTTAAAGATATGCTGGCAACGGATCCAGTCCCAGACGACATTACTGTTATACCCTCACCGGAAGCTCTCAAGAACAAAATTATTGTCCGTGCCAAGAAACCAAAAGGTGTGTAGCAAGACTAGTGTTTAATATAACAGTCTTGATTATAACTGGCTCATAGTGTAAAGTACATTATATGAAGAAGAGTGATTACTTTTCAACATGTCTTTTTATCCAAATATGACTCTCCTTTTTTCCATAAATAAATTTCCTGTATTTTGTGGAAAATTATTTTTCCCTACTATTTAAGTGAATTTTTTCAGGATAGTACCAAAGTGCAAAAGTGAAAGAAAATGTGTATATGATTTTTTTTCTTTTTTGGTGGGTTCACAGGATACACTTTGAATAATTTGGAGTCCAACCATGTTTCAACCTCCTTTCCATATAACTAGTTGTAATGATAATAGTTGTCAATTGAGTTTAACCAGGTGTGTACATATATAAAAATTCAGATTAAATCACTGAAAAATTACGTAATTTTTTAATGCTTGGCCATAATTCCTCTTTCATTTATCTTGCTATTACCTCAAACACCAGAGACTCCTGATGAACAAACAGATCATTTGCTGTACAGTGAGTCGTGGCCTAGCGTACGTGCATGGACATGAGCCCTGGTTATGACATGAAATTTGGGATACAGTGTATTAAGTCTGTCTTGTTTTACCCCCTGTTTTATGTTTGCATTTTGACAAATATTTGACCCTCTCAATTATGCATCTTTTTGGTCAGATACCCAAGTTAGTTTAGGAACATTGTTATGTGCATTATTTGGTTTTCAGTAATTTTTTTCCTTCTGATTTTTCTCGCATGGCATCTTATCTGAGGTATGAATTAAGTGTTGTGGAACATCTTTCCTCAAGACTAGAAAGTCTGACTTGGCAATTTAGATTATAATCTTAGGGTTGATGTGTATTTTTTCACAGAAGATAGACATTATCATTTAAAATTGCTGTTTATTGATTGAGTTGACATGAAAATGAAGGATGCTTGTTACATTTTGAGAAATAATTATTGAAATACTTGTCTAATGTGAATGATAAACTGTATGATTTTTAGTCTCTTTGATATCATTGATATAGTTTTTGCTATAGTTTCTTATTCTTTCACTGGAAATGTTGATAGTCACTTAGATAGTCCAGGCATTGTTTCTCTGTAGTTAGTTGTAGAATTGCATTTTCAAATATTTTTGGGGTTGAGTATTTGCCTGCAATAATGAAAAGTTTGGCCCTTACTTTTTTTCCCAAGATTTATGTATTTATGTCAATGTTTCATTTATTTGGTTTATCTTTTCTCTCTTTCTTTCTTTCTCTTTTTAGAATGCATGTTTCAGGAACACTTATATTCTTTTTTCCCAGGAAGAAAAGCAAACATTTTGAATGATAAATAGGATAAAGACTATGCATCCAAAAAATGAATGAAGGAAAAAAAAGAAAGAATATGTGTGTGGGTGCGTGCATGCATGTGTGCATGCGTGCGTGCATGTGTGTGTGTGTGTGTGTGTGTGTGTGTGTGTGTGTGTGTGTGTGTGTGTGTGTGTGTGTGTGTGTGTGTGTGTGTGTGTGTCTTTATAAACATGCAGATAGATAGTTAGATATAGCTGTATATGATATGCATGTATGTGTGTGAATGTATGTTTGTAGTTCATGTACATATGCAAATGTATAACCAACTATTGTTTTATACCACAGGCTCAGAAGTGGAGGATGATGATGAAGATGATGATGACCAGGACAGCATTGACTACATAGACAGTGATGATGGGGCAGCACAGTCAAAGAAGGTGAGACCATTTTCTTTCAGCCATTTGAAGGAACTTATACTGTTTACTATGGGAATTACAACTTTCTGTGTAGATTAAATACTTATCATATTTTTAGAAAGATACAAAGGAATTGATAAAATATAAGATAATTGGATTTATAGATAGGTATTGTATTAACAGATGGTGCAACAAAAGTTATTATATATTTCATATTTTTTTTCTCATCAAAGGTTCCACACTCGTTATCAGAAAGACTTTAAAGTAAGAAGGATAATTGAAATCTAACTGAGATTTGTCATTTATTTCTCTAGCTGGCATGCTACTATTACCAGGTATACATTAATGAGTATATTATCCCATGTACATAAGCTTTGGATGTAGCCCCCAATGCATTTTGTAGATGGCCTCTGCGCACACATTTTGCTTTTCTCATTTGGCATTTTTCATCCATCGAGGAGTTTATGGCTGCTCGTACTAACACACAGGATTCCAATACTTTGTATTTCCATCAGATGTGTAGACTGCTTGTATGAATAGTTTAGCAGACTCCAGACCTCAAGCTCCAGTAGTTAATGTGTTTATGCGGCTACAAATTGTCCATCCACACTGTAAAAGCTTTGTCTTTTTTTTTTTCCTATTACTCAACTAGGATTTCTTCACTCCTCACCTTTTGACTCTCTACCGCTCTTTCAAGAGCTCTAAGAAGCGAAAACAAAGTTCCACAAAGAAGCGCAGGATGTCTCAGCCACAGGTAGTACAGATCTGCCCATCCTTGCGAATTGGCGTGTTTTATGATTCAAGTTTTCTTTTTCTTTTTACCTGCTTGCTTGGATGAGTCACTAGTATAGTTTATCCAAACCTTTTTTCTCTTCTCATCATTTTTCATTTGGATTCTGGAATTGCAGTTGGAAATTTAGAAAACCAAAAAAAAAAAAAAATTATGTGGGATATGACAACATTGATTTGTGTGTGGCATGATCCATCTTCTTCCTCTGTTTTCCTTCTTTGTTTCTAGTCTCTTAATTGCCAAAGAGCATGGGTTGCTCTTTCTACTTTCGTAACATGTGATGTGGACATTAAGCGTAGACATGTTCCTTAGTCTGTAGGATGTTACCTTTTGTTTATTATCTTTGTCATCCATATTTTGTTTTATTGAAGTCACTATATTTCTGTTTT